TATATATATATATATATATATATATGAGGAGGGGGGAAACAAAATTTTCGGGGGGGGGGGGGGGGTGGCTTTTTTCCAGTTCTGCCACCGATCAGTTTGTCCATGTACTTATGTAGTGTTGTGCTAGTGAATGATTGTTCTAATGTACTGATACAGACACGTACAGAATTCTGTGTAAAATGTACTTTTTCTAAAACAAATGAAGTATTTCAGGTGAGTTAAGCCTTCACAGTATGTAATAGTCGTTTTTTTAAACGGATTACGCTAATAAAAATTGTTACTGCATAGTAATTTCAGCTCAGGAAAAAAAATTCTGCACGTTATTATGTACATCCAGTGACCACTTAGAAAATATTTTCATCTGCGCTGGGATATAATGTTTAGTCAGCAATACTACCCCCCCCCCCCCCCCATTCCACCCTAACAACTTAAGTCGATTGTTTTGGGCTGCTCGAGACACGTATTTTGAAAACTAAAGTATCGATATAAACACAATTTTGCTTGATTAACTCTTATACAACAGCTGTCACAAATGTAATGAAACCAACTCAAATGTTTTTGATTATCACTGCTGGCAATACTAGTTTTTCCTTAAACCAAAATCGTTTAAAAATCAGCTGAAAATGTTTTAAACTATAGACAGACGGCAGCTGTAATAATTTGTTAATACAAATACTTCTGTTAAACCTGTTTGTGTATGAGTAATCTCTGGAATTGTGTTGAAATAAATACGTAAATCTTGTAAACAAAACTATAAAATCAATACATACAAAGCTTCTAATATTTTCAACATTCGCTATTCCATGTATTTTTTTACATTTATTTTAATCATATTCTAAATATTTAAACTATTAAAACATAATATGTCATTAAAACTCGCGATGGGTTTCAAATCACAAATAAATGTTTTTGTACAAGGCTTTTTAGTGATTCACACTCTGGGAAGAAAATGTAGTGTTATATGAAACATAATTTAAATGTCATTATGTTGGTGAGAATGTAGGACAGGTGTGGTGAGCAGCGGGTCAGGCAAAAGGAAATGTGGGTCACTTCCATGTAATTTAGTAAAAACAAGTACATGTGTATATGATTAGGTAATTACAATATAAACCTAGTGCTTTACTGTAAAATCTATTCCATGAAAGTTATACTGAACGGTATAATGTTCGTTAGTGCACTAGACACATGTGGCAAATGAGGTAGAGATCTAGGCATATTAGGGGACAGTATGTTCATCACTACGCCCAGCCTCCGTTGTTTCCTTAAAGTAAGTTAGGTTACCAACAAGAGATTGATGGACTTAGGGAAGTTTCACTGACTTGAATATGGATTCGAATCGAGACTCTGGGGTTAGCGGTCTGACTCTCTACCGCTAGGCTACGTGGTCACATCCTGCAATTTTCTACGAACTTCTTTTTAAAGTTATTTCGCCCCCCCCCCCCCCACACCCTCCGATTATACCGTTCTCTATTCCTAGCAATCAATGCACGGCTTTGGGTGATCCTTCTAAAGCCAAGCTAATGCTTGCTAATGATCTGTTTCATCTAATCTCTTAGTCTAAGCGTCTAACAGTGTTGCAAAGGCATGCGGGAAATAATTATGTCTGCTTTTGTACTAATAGTTAATCATGTCTCACTTGTTGGGAAATATTGTTATTCATATGAACCTGCGTCATGAATTTCTGGCTGTATCTTACAGACGGTTATTTTATAATTGAAATAATTAGAACCTTTATGAAAACAATTCAGATCAACTAAATCATCAACTACACTATTAAAATTTAGGTGTGAAATATTTTGTCTGAGATATTTTGTTTGAGATCAATTGTCCGTGGTATCATTTGTCCTGATATATTTTGTCCTGGTATCTTTTGTCCGTGAGATAATTTGTCCTGATATATTTTGTCCTGTTATCTTTTGTCCGTGAGATCATTTGTCCTGAGATCATTTGTCCTGAGATCATTTGTCTTGAGATATTTTGTCCGAGATCAATTGACCTGAGATCATTTGTCCTGGGATCATTTGTCCTGAGATAATTTGTCCGTGAGATATTTTGTCTGGGATATTTTGTCTGAGATCATTTGTTCTGAGATCATTTGTCATGGAACCGGATATGGATATGGAGCGTCAACCACCCACGGATTGATCACAATTTACAACTGAAAAATCTACCAGATTCAATTCAATATAGGGGCCTACATTTTTTATATGGAATGACTATTATCTTAGGCTTTCTAGATCCGTCTAAAGACGTTAGGTTAATTGTTCACGTATAATGTGTACCTTAGAGTAAGATTGTATTTATCTTTGTCAATACTAGCTGGAGGTGAAATTTTAGGTCACGTGCATATCTGCTGATCTACAACATCTTTCGAATGCATCCTGTACAGATGAACATGTTTTTATGTGGATTGTGTTTTAAAACTATATGCCAGTATATGGGGTGGAGTCGAGAGAATGGAGCTGAATTTTTGTACAGAAAAATTAACACATTCTCACACAACTTTAAATCGCTAGTATGAATCAAGATGATCAGCACGTTACGATGTACTTAACAAACATATACTTAAATACCTCGAGTAAATTTAGTTGAAATCATTGAAAATGCTTAGGGTAAAATTAAAATGCTTCAAAAAGATGAATGACCCAGCTTCTAAAAAAAATAACTGAAGTTGTTTACAATCAGAATTGTGGCTTTTCAAACTGCTAATTTTCTATAAAACTTGTTTTTGCAAATACCAGTAAAGAGGCTTGTTAGCGATTAAAGGGTCTTGTAACGAATCATTTTTTTATTGTCACATGTGCACGGAGTAAATTTTAAAAAAAACCAACTAAACAACTAAAGCGTCGCTGCGGGTGTCCCTGATCGATTCTCAACGGCGCTGTGACAGAAGATATACAAATGGAGACTAAGTTGTAAATGGCTGGTGCAAAGCCTAGCCGAAAACGGCTTATCTTCAATAATCCATTGAACCACTAGTAGAAATATCAAAGGCTAGGGTTTACACCGCTTTGTACTGAACAGAACACAGATGTGCATGCTGGTAAGGTAATCCGTATTACAAAGCCACATAAACCTAAATGTATTTGTTTGATTCTATTCTAATCATATCGTCTTTCCTGTGTATTTATCATTTTCATAAAGGATTGACCTAAAATTAGTTTCATTAAAAAACATCCGTTATTTAGTTAGAGCCAGGAGGACATGATGCGGGTTCATATGAATAACAATATTTCCCAACCTGTAAGAACTGATTAACTATAAGAACAAAAGCTGACATGCAATTGTATCCAAGCTTTAGAGTAAGAGATTAACACATTATTAGCAAACAGTAGGGTGGCTTTGGAAGGGTAACGCTGAGTCGTGTGTTGAAAGCTAAGTATAGAAGGTTGGTTTAATGGAAACTTCTACGAGATTATATTGACGTACGGTGAGATAATAGTAAGGTAATATGGTGTTATATGGGACGGATTGGCATAACGTTAGAGAGCTGAACTGCTCAGTAGACCGTCCCTGAGTCCACCCAACTCAATCCACCCAACACAGCCCACCCAACTCTGATGAGTACCTAACTCACGTAAGTAAAGGCAGCTGGGCAGAGAGATGACCACACTAGCCCTTTATATGCCAAGGTCACAGAAATAAGTGAATTCTACTTCACTTGCCCCGTAGACCGTCAGGTTTGAAAGGGAACTTTACTTTAGCTCATGGTTTATAGTAATTTAATAAGAAGATAACAATGGTCTCGTAATAGAGGTGATACGGTGGGTATGTTGTGGTGAAAAGGGAGAAACTAATGTGATAGTGGCGAGACAATAGGCAGGTAAGTATGTTGTTGAGTTGAATTAATCTGCAGGTAATAATGTTATTATGTTGAAGTAATATGCATGTAATAATGTTGTTATGTTGAAGTAATAGACAGGTAATAATGTTGTTATGTTGAAGTAATAGACAGGTAATAATGTTGTTATGTTGAAGTAATAGACAGGTAATAATGTTGTTATGGTTAGGTAAATGGAAGGTAATAATGTTGTTATGTTGAGGTAATAGACAGGTAATAATGTTGTTATGGTTAGGTAAATGGAAGGTAATAATGTTGTTATGCTGAGGTAATAGGTAGGTAATAATGTCTTAATGTTGAAGTAATAGGCAGGTACTAATAAGGTTGTGAGATAATAGGCATGTACTAATGAGGTTGTGAGGTAAAAATTGGACGGCGTGGATTGGCGGTTAAGCGTCTATCTCTGATGTGTACCTAACGGTTACAATGTAGTAAGGATAGTGTCATAGTTGAAGCTATTTTAAGATAATGGTGAAGTTGTTGTTATATAATGTTGGAAAAAATGGCGTCAACTTGTTTACTTCCGGAATTGTCAACTTTCTTTTATAGTTTTTAGTGTTTTTATTCACTATTAAATCAAAAAAATCTAAGGGAAGTATTACTCATCCAATAGGGTTGAGTATGTAGTTTAGTACTATTTTCCGAGCCGGTTCTTATTGTGATATTTTATGTTTTTATTTTATTGTCTCATCCATTGTTAAAATGTAAAACGGATATCTATATTCTTAGTTGTTGTAGATCTACTGATGATTCGTTTTCTATGTAATCAATGTCTACTGATGTCAGCATGATATTTTAATATTGCTGGTGGGTGAAAATGTAAAGGACTGGCGTTGTCACCAGGAGCAGCAGAGCTAAGAAGTATCGTTTAAATAAAGACAAAGCTATATCAAAAAAGATTGCTAACATTTGTGCAGCGGATTATATTCATTTTCAAAAGAAAGATGGAGGTAAAAAGAATCATCAAAACAAAATATGCTGATGTTGTTGAGGAAAGAAGGGATGATGATGGCGCCAATGTTGAAGATATTTATAAATTACCAGGGCTATCTGTCCATCTGTACCACACGAATAACAAAATTATGGTACAGGGAAAATCTAACGTTGTGTCTGTATAGGTGAATACGGAATTTTGCTGTATTTTAAATAACCTCATTACAACAGACAAAGCTATGGACATGCCTCTACCCATGTCGCCGCCACCATCACTGTCACCACCACCTTCACTGTCCCCACCCAGAGTATTGGAGCTACCCATTTCACCGCCCATGATTATGTCCGCTTCCAACAGTGACAATCAATGTGCAGAGGTTACGATCAATATCAATCAGTTAGATTGTGTAACACCTATAAAAAACTATACATTTTCATCAAACCTATCTCAACCAACTGATTTGCTTAGTCGAAAAATATCATTTCATCAACAACTGGAAAATAACTTAAGATCGTTTATTCTTAATGAGATCACTTGTGTTAAAAAAGCTTTTAAAGCGGAGAAATTGCAGTTTAACAGCCAACTAGAATAACTCCGAGTCGAAAACGCTTTCTTAAGGGACGAAGTCAAGAGACTATCTAATGAAGTACATAGCTACAAATTTATACACGTCAACCTTAAGAAGCGTTTGGTGGATCAAGAAAATATTTCTGCGTCACTAAAGAAACTCCTCACAACCAAGAAACCCTCTTGCAGCACAATATCCACCTCAACATGTGAGGATAATCAACAACTAATAAATGAAACAAAAATCACACCGGTAAGCATCCGTCAAGAAGCTCCGTTCCCAATCCATGTTAAAATTACACAAAGTGAAGACAGAGCGCGTTTATCCAGACCATCGGAACATTCGAGTCCCAGCACCCTGCAACGACCACGCACTAAAAGTGATTCTACACAATACAGCGTCCCAACGGTCAAGGCTGTCCATGTCCCAGTTGTCCAACGCTCTACTCATACGGCACTAATAGAGATAGCACACAACATATCGCCGCCACCTACACCAACCAAACAACGAAACACCATTTGATCCTTGGTGACTCTACACTTAAAGGTCTCCATCCTGATATAATGGCCACGGATCATTACGAGCGTGTATCGGTAATAGCGCTGCCTGTGGCAAATTTTGATAAAATTAGGGACGTTATTAGTAGCCGATCACGTGACTCTAGCACCACAACTGTAACCTTACATTGTGGTGTCAACGACAGTCTATCAAACGTCAGACTGTCACAAGCTAATATGCTAGAAATTGTTAGAAGTATCACTCACAAATTTCCCAACGCAACAATTTTTACAGTCTTTCTGTATTAGTTATAAATACTGTTTTATAAACAATACACCTTTTTTCACTGCGAAGTCAGGTGCCCCGAGACAACGCTTGTACAGTGACAGTATTCATTTAACTAAAATTGGAAGCAGTATTCTCGCTAAAAATATAAAGTATCCCCAAAGAGCCGTCAGCTTAACAGATAAAGACCAGGTGCAACTTTCAAGCGTAAAAGGTACAAAGGTTGATGTGGTTTCGACTGTTGATATGCTTCCAACAATATCTTCAGATCAATTGAACTCTAGCCCAGGCTTACATCACTTAATGGGCTTTAGCCCTTTGTTACTTCATCAACCTCTAATGTTGTCGCTTAAGCGCCTACCTGGAACCTAACTTTTTCACTTACTATTTACTAGTTTAGCTCACGGTACTATTTTAATTATAATACATATTGATACTATTGTACATTTATATTGCAATATATATATATATATATATATATATATATATATATATATATATATATATATATATATATATATATATATATATATATATAAATTTATTTATTTATATATATATTTATGTATATGTATTTATTTTGAGAGAGAGAGAGAGAGAGAGAGAGAGAGAGAGAGAGATAATAAGGCAGTGTGAAGAGCAGAGAGTGTTTGTTTTATTGGGTGACAAAGTGTGTAATTGTAAGACAATTATATTGATTCTGTTTAATTAGTTCATTATATTGATTTTTGTTTATTCTTATATTTTTGTCTTATTCATTGATATTTTATTATCTTTATGCATTGTCTATTTGCATCATCCTGGCCCTAACAAAGTGCGCTAAAATTGGACCATTTAAATAGTTTCCACATATTTAATAAATAAACACCATGAAGTTCTAAAAATTTTAAACAATTCCAACAATAATTTCCATATCTTTGGTTTCTCTGAAAATCGATTACAATCTTTTATAAATGATGTTGAGATATCCGTCTCTGATTATAACCTAATACGCCGAGACCCATCCTTACACAAAGAAACTGGCCTTTGTGTCTATGTCCACTCCTAAATTCGTTTCAAGTATAGGAAGGATCTGTCAACGGAAAATATAGAGTGTATATGGATTGAACTGGAAAAAAGCAAACACCATCCGGCAATTTTAATTTGCTTCCTTTATAGAAATCCTTGCGAAAACATGGATTGGTATGATCGTTTTTGCTCCATGATGGATACCGTTTTATCTACTAACAATGAATATATCATATTGGGAGATTTTAATATAAATTTATTAAAATTATTTTCGACAAAAATATTATGCGTACCTTCGCGGCAACACATAACTATAAATTATCGCTCTTTTAGAAATTTAATGAAAATCTTTTTCTTTCGGATTTATTGGCTGCCCCCTTCTGCAATGTATACAATTATAATTGTCCCGATATAGCCATTTCTGAATGGCTGCGTATTTTCTATACTATATATGACAAACATATTCCTAAAATCTCTAAAAGGGTTAAGACTACATACAAACATTCTTGATTTAACAACAATATCGAATCTGCAATTAATAAAAGAGACTGGCTTAAACGTTATGGAACTTCTGAGGACTTTTGTAGGCAACGAAATTATGTCAAACTGCTCGTGCGTAGGTCGAAGAAGGAGTATTTTAATAAGCTGCTGTCAGGCAAACCTAATTCCAAATCTATCTGGACTGCCATAAAACAAATAATTAGAAAAAACCGCACATTTAATACAGATGGACATTGCCAGATATCTGCTGATGACTTTAACAATCATTTTATATCATCTGTAGCGCTCAACACAGATGCTGATTACACAATCAGTGAGGAGCTTAACAATTTGTGTAATTCTGCTCACCGTGGCAGGACAGAGCTGATCATTCCGCTTCTCACTGTTCATGAAGTATATGTTAGCCTAAGATCTCTTAAACCGTCTTCAACAACTTTGTTGGATGATATCTCTAATAAAGTATTGAAGATTTCAGCTCCAATAATTTCTGAAGTTTTAACCTATGTCTATAACCTCTGTATTGCCAAGCATTATTACCCGACACATTTTAAGCATGCTAAGGTTATACCACTACACAAAAAAGGTAACATTCAAGATGCTAATAACTACAGGCCAATTTCTATACTTTCTTCCCTCTCCAAGCCAGTAGAAATACATATAAACAAATGCATGTCAAACTACCTAAAAAAGCTCAAGCTTTTCCATAGTAATCAGTCTGGGTTTAGAAAGTTTCATTCTTGTCACACTGCTCTGATTAAGATGAATGAAAACTGGCTTAAAAATATTAAAAAAACCTACTCTGTGGCTCGCTGTTCGTCGATTTCAGAAAAGCCTTTGATTCTATTGATCACACCATACTTCTTAAAAAACTAATTTCATACAAATTCCACGACTTTACAGTTAGGTTACTTCACTCCTTTTTATCTAACCGATCTCAACGCGTGTTTCACCTTAATACCATCTCTTCACAGAAGTATGTTAATATAGGGGTTCCACAGGGCTCAATCTTAGGTCATTTACTTTTTTCTTTATACATTAATGATCTTCCATTACACATTGACGCTGGTCAGTGCGTGATGTTCGCTGATGATACTTCTTTACATGTCTTTGCAGACAGTGCTGAGTCACTCAGTTACAAACTTGAAACGTGTGCCAATCAGCTTGCTACTTGGACAAAATTTAACAAAATGAAACTTCACCCCGATAAAACCAAGTTAATGTTAATTACAACTCATCAGAAACGCCTTCGTCTTCCATCCACCTCATTACGCATTACTATAGACAGTACAAGCATTGAACAGGTAAACAGTTACAAATGCCTAGGATTGGTTATAGATCACAACCTCACTTGGTCCAATCATATTCATTTTCTAAGAATGTCCTTATTAAAGACAACTTTTCAATTAGCAAGGATAAAGAACTTTCTCGACTATAGGAGCAGGCTAGTTTTTTATGAAGCTTTTATTCAATCTAGGTTGGATTATGCTTCTGTAGTGTGGAGCGGCAGCTTTATAACTAAGCAGTGTCCTCTTCTATCTTTACAAAAAAGGGCTATACAACTGGTTACTGGCTTGTCTAGTAGTCTGGATTCTTTTCTTACAACTGAAATACTTCCATTTAATAAAAAGATAATATATACTAAATCAATTTTCTTATATAAAATATTCCACGAAACAGCCCCCTCTTACTTATCAGACCTATTTTCTTTTAACATAAAATTAAATCGTCGTCTTAATTTACCATTTCCATATACAACTTTTTTCCAAAAACATAGCTTCGCCTACTTTGGTTCTAATTTGTGGAACAATCTTCCTAATAAAATAAAGCTATCTAGATCTGAAAATATATTCAAATCTAAACTAAAACTACAATTATTTAATGACTTCTCTAGCTGACTCATTGTAACATTTCTCATTCATCTATTATATTCTCTTTTTTTATCTCATTTTGTATTATAACTATGTAACATTATTTCTTTATTCCACATTTTTAGTGCTATGTTACTGCTATGTGTTTTTGAATTGTTTTATTTGTTTAAACGGCAATGTGAAAAAAGGCCTTCGTGCCTACAATTGTAACCGTTTTTTGAATAAATTGAATACATTAAATTGAAACAAACTATTTTGAGCCCATGGACATGCGACATGAATCAAATCACTACACATTCATCATTGAATCTTATCTTATCCGTAAAAATCCGTATTGCACGTAATGCATTACGACGCTGTGTTCGCTCTCTATAAAACTAGATACATTTTGTTGTTGCTTTGTTTGATTTGTAGACTTACCTTGATTTTGCTTGTAATGTTCATCGATTAGTGTGCCTGACATTTAAAAAAAAAATGCTAACAGTAGTTTTGTTTTTTCTTAGGGTATAGGTAGATAACACCTGCCAATTGTACAGGGTGAATATTAATTTCCTTGTACTTTCATTTAAATTATGTCACTTGCACATTTTCATTTTTTTTCAATCCTA